AGAAATACCAGTGGCATATTCTTCCCATACAAATAAATAAAATTTGTAAATATTCCTGATTGAAAGGAATAACAGTTTTTACAGCTTGAACTAATGAAGCACTCAAAAATAGATATACTTTATTGCAATTCTAGAAAATATTTTCTTTTGTCATCTTTCTTATGATCTTAATTTTTTGTCAAACAATTTGGAAAACTGCATGGTATTATAACACTAAAGGCAGGTACTGAGTATTGAAGATATTCATTTCAAATAATCAGTTTATTTTAAATAAACACTGAATCTAACTGTGAAAGAATCCTTATTTCTGGTTATTTAAAAAACAAAATTGTCTGTTCTTAGAGCTTATAGGCATCTGGCATATCGACGCTTTGTGCGATGGATTTTCAACGTTTTTTGGGGAAAACAACTGGTAGATCTTGCCATTATGTGAAGTAACGAAGAGTAGAACTGATTTCCTATCTCAGCGATGCCGTGGTTTCAAATACCAAACAGGAACATCCTAGATACATATTTTCAAGCATTCTTATTTGGGAAGAAAACACAACAATGTAATCTTTTCAAAGGATCGTAATATAAAAAGAACTACATGATCCGTGTCCAAAAGTTCTGACTTTGAGACATGTTCGTATGAGGTTGCAAATGGAGCAGGACGGTTGTGTTTGGCAGCCTCCCGATTGTAGGAACGTAACTCCAGTCTCACTTTGATCACTCTTGCTTCAAAATCATTACGTAGTATTTAAACAAATAGTGAATGAAATAAATTATAAGAGTTATGTTAATATGAAAAAAAAAATGAAGACGCACTATTACATACTGTAAATTTAAGAAATGGAAGACTTTTTAGAAATGTTACTTTCTTTATGCTGTTTTATTTTTACTTCCTTTGGAATGCCAGCTTCATTTCTGTCTTTTGGATATAACACAGAATGTATATTCTGTCTAAACTCTCTAAACTTTAAACTGGCTCTAAACTTTAACTTTTGTTGTCCCCCGCTTTCACCGAAAGTGGAGGATATAAATTTCGATCTCTCTGTCCGTCCATCCGTCTAGCTGTATTTCTGTCTGTCTGTAACACTTTTATTTCCGCGTGATATTTCGAGGAGTTTTCGAGCTTTTGCAGTGAAATTGCAAACTGCCTATGACCTAAGAAAGATCCCTTTTTTATTTTGAGGTCGAAAGATCAAAGGTCAACGTAATAAATTGATAAATTCTGTATGTTTTAACACTTTCGATATCTCAAGAAGCGTTTGAGCTTTTGCAGTGAGATTTTATACCACAATTCCCTATGGCCTAAAGAAGACCCTTATTATACCCGCACTTTCTAAAGAAAGTTCGGGTATGTTGTTGTTACTCATGTCTGTCCGTCCGTCCGTCTGTCACACTCTTCTTTCTCAAACTCCTCTTACATTTTATCAAGTAGCCTAATCATCTTTTGGGAGATGTTTGGTGGTGTCATGTAGATGTGCAGTAAGGTTTCGGAATTTTCATTTTCACCCTAGGGGTCAAATGGGGGTCGAAAAATGACCCTTTTTGTGCAAAAAGGCCCTGGTTCCCTGAACTCCTCTTACATTTTACACAGTAGCCTAATCATCTTTTGGGAGATGGTTAGTGGTGTCCTGTAGATGTGCAGTAAGGTTTCGGAATTTTCATTTTCACCCTAGGGGTCAAATGAGGGTCGAAAAATGACGTTTTTTATGCAAAAAGCCCCTGGTTCCCTGAACTCCTCTTACATTTTACACAGTAGCCTAATCATCTTTTGGGAGATGTTTGGTGGTGTCCTGTAGATGTGCAGTAAGGTTTCGGAATTTTCATTTTCACCCTGGGGGTCAAATGGGGGTCGGAAAATGACGCTTTTTGTGCAAAAAGGCCCTGGTTCCCTGAACTCCTCTTACATTTTACACAGTAGCCTAATCATCTTTTGGGAGATGGTTAGTGGTGTCATGTAGATGTGCAGTAAGGTTTCGGAATTTTCATTTTCACCCTGGGGGTCAAATGGGGGTCGAAAAATGACGTTTTTTATGCAAAAAGCCCCTAGTTCCTTGAACTCCTCTTACATTTTACCCACTAGCCTAATCATCTTTTGGGAGATGGTTAGTGGTATCCTGTAGATGTGCAGTAAGGTTTCAGAATTTTCATTTTCACCCTGGGGTTCAAATGGGGGTCAAAAAATTATGTTTTTTATGCAAAAAGCCCCTGGTTCCCTGAACTCCTCTTACATTTTACCCAGCAGCCTAATCATCTTTTGGAAGATGGTTGGTGGTGTCCTGTAGATGTGCAGTAAGGTTTCGGAATTTTCATTTTCAACCTGGGGGTCAAATGGGGGTCGAAAAACGTTTTTTTACAACTAGAAATATGTCCATAGTAATGCAACATGAAAAATTGTATTAGTGTATGAAATTTGATGAGAATATCTTAAAGAGTTTCTTTAAAATTGAAATTGAAATCTGAAAAATTGGATATAGATGATAAACTCTCACCAAATTATGTATAAGTGCATAAGCTTACATAAATATATATCTAAAATGGTTTCTTAAAAATTAAGCAAAATGCAAATTTAAGAAGAGTGAGGTCAAGGTCACAGGAAAGTTAAAAGTCAAACATTTTTTATGCAGTTGAATAGTTCTCACAAATATGTATCAGCATATTAAGTTTGATAAAAATATTTTGAATGGTTTATTTAAAACTGAGCTAAACACTACTTTAAAATAAATGAAGTAAAGGTCATAGGAAAGTTCAAGGGCAAAAAATATTGATGCAGTTGAATAGCTCTCATTAGTATGTATCGGCATATGAGTTAGATTAAAATATCTTAAATGATTTCATTAAAACTGAGCTAAACACTAATTTAAGAAAAGTGAGGTTAAGGTCAAAGGAAAGGTCAAGGTCAAAAAATGTTGATACAGTTACATAGCTCTCATCAATATCTATCGGCATATGAAGTTTCAATTGATAGAAATATCTTCGATAGTTTCTTTGAAACTGAGCTTTGAACAGAGCTAAATGCAAAGCGTGACAGAAAGACAGACAGAAGGACAGAAGGATGAAAGGACAAACACTATATGCACCGGCCATATTCATATATAAAAACAAGGTAAAAATTTTGTTTGCATGCACCCTTTCTCCATACCACCTCTCCATGTTCCGAGATTGAAGTTTTAATGTCAAAAGGTTCTTAAGTTATGGTTTGGAGGTGTTTTTCTCAATTTAACCTTGAATGAAGAAAGGAGTCAAGGTCAACATTTTAGTGCAGTGCATCTTTTGTAAATGTCTTTTTTCTATGTTACAAATTTGAAATCCTAATGTCAAAGGGTTCTCAGGTTATAGCCTGGACTATATTTATATGTAAAGATTGACCTTGACCTTATCGAAAGGTCAAGGTAAAAAGAGTTTGGAGGCCTCAACCCCAATTCCATACCGCCTCTCCATGTTTCAAGTTTTAAGTCTTAATGTCAAAGGGTTGTCAAGTTAAGGCTCGGACAAAATTTGATTGAAGAAGAAAACTGACAAAAACAATATGTAGACTAGTATTAGTCTACTTGTTGCATCAAACCTGTAGGAGGAATAGTTTTGAAAGAACAAATTTGTTTCTACATTATGTAATGAAACTTTCACATAAGATTCAACTTTTCTTGTCTAGTGGTTTTTGAGAAGGAATTTTTTTTCTTATACAGTAAAGCATACTTATAGCGAAACAAGCCTATAATGAATTGACACTTACAGCAAAGCAATTTTCATTCCCCATGACTTTAAAATATATTGTAAACTTAATGGATATAAGCAATTACACTTACAATAAAGCAAAATCATCCGTCTCAGGCACTTTGTTGTAAGCGCGTTTTACTGTACATTCCCATGTTTACAAAACTTTGATCCCCTATTGTGGCCGCACCCTACCTCTGAAGGTCGTGATTTGGACAAAGTTGAATCTACACTAAGTATTGAAGTTTCACATAATTTTAAACTTTTCTGGCCCAGTGGTTCTTCAGAAGATTTTTGAAATAACATTAAATTTTCACTCATTCTTATTTCCCCTTAAAAGAAGGTTTGGCCTTCCTTAAAAGAAGGTTTGGCCCTTCATTTGAACAATTGTTATGTTTTACACAAGAAAGAATATTTTGCATGAGAAATAAAACTCTTTGTGTTTCTAAATATTTCATCACACCTCTAGTGTAATTCTTCTTATTTTAACTAAGATAATGATGATTTAATTATGACTTCAATTTTGTACAAGCCTTTGTATGATAATTATACCCTGAGGGGTTTGTTTACCTGTCTTCAACAAGTCAGGTGATTGTTCACAGTGAGTACTTTTCAAGCATAATTGTCATGACCAAGTTCATTTCTGCATACTGAAAATACTGATTTTGAGCAAATTAATAGGAGTTCCAAGTGAAATTTGTAACAAACATGTTAAAAGACTTCTGGTTGTGTCCTTTTGTAATTAGAGATACAGATCAAAGGCAAGATAAAAGTGAGTAAACTTTTTTTTTTTCTGGGAGGGATAACATTCTTGCTGCAGTATGAATTAGTGTAAAATCCTGAAAAGTCATCAATTAAAAGAAATTGTCTGATAATTCCACTTTAATTTTGACTCAAGTAGATGTTAGAGAGAGAGAGAGATTACTCCAGGTATACAGCCCCATCCAATATATATATATATATATATATATATATATATATATAGTTATACAAGAGGCGTGTTATGGGATATTTGGCGTATCTCAGACTCACGTTGTGGGATCCTTAGGTGGTTTATGGGTCATCTATATTTTGACCCATAAACCATGTAGTCTAAACTTCACAGAAATGTTGGAAATGCTATTCCTACCATAAAAAACAAAAAAAATAATTTTTTTGACCCATAAGGATATATAGAAAAATGTCCCACAACGCAAAATCTATTTTTAGAACAGTCGGTCTAAGTCCCTCGCTTTCAACATTTTGTGTATCTATAAATGTCAATTGGAATATCCCACAATACGGTGTAGCGATACACGCAATGCATTGTGGGAGGACAATGGCGGCGTTTAGCAGGGGTAAAGAGCTGTAAGACAGTAAGTATCTTGTTATTATTAGTAGAGCAATTGAATATAACACATATTTATGATAATTAGACGAGAGAACGAGGAACTTTCGAACTTGTTTGATCGTAAGCACAGTTTAAGGTTGGTCGCGGGTTTACTGCATAAAAATTTTACGAGAAAACATGTTCAGAAAAATTTGATATAATGTTCCTTAGAATTTGCGGCATATTATCTGAAATTTTTATTAAATTTGCCTTCGTGAAGATAAGTAGCTTATCTTCTCTAGTATTATGAAATTCATAATTCTGCCCACAAAGTCAGAATGAACGGTATATTGATATAAACATTCTTCGTGCATTAGAATTAATATGCAGTAACTAGTGATGGGAATCGGTAAGAATTTCATAATCGATGATCGGGCTACTGTAACTAACTAATTATCAATTATAATCGGACATTTACAAAGTCTGTCAATTTAGTTTATCAAATGGTAAGAATGGATGAATAACTACTTTCTTTGGTGGTCCAGCTGTAGTTAGAATAATCTAACTGTGTTTCGGGACAAGCCCTAGTCCTTAGGACAATATTTTAACGATAGAACGTTCGATCTAGTCCAGCTGGTTCTTCATTCATTTTGTAGAATCCAAAGTATGTCCATACCCGGGAATTAGCGTTGTTACCCGGGTATGAATACAATGTCTGTTCGTCTACGCCATTACGATACACAAATAAGTTAATAGAAAAGTCGCTGCTGGAATATTTGGCTTGAAAACTATTACGCTTGTAAAATAAAATAAATAACCCGATTAATCGGAATAGAAATTTTGTAATCGAGCGCTTGGATTATGCCAACAATCGACTGATTTTCGATTATAATCGATGATTGGAACACCACTAGCAGTAACACTGCGATAGATAATATATTACAAGTAATGTTAGGATGTTCAAGTTCATTATTAAGAATTCAAGTATAACACGGTAAAGGAAAAAAAAAAGTCCACCATTGAAGGGGGGTGGGGGTTATCGGTAATGTTCTTTTTAAGTCAATCGCAATTCAGTATATAGTCAGAACTCTCAAACATTTGTTCTTTCTTGTTTTTTTTTCTTTATTAATTTTTCATCATTAAAAAATGTAAAATACTTGCATTCAGCTTAAACACAGATAGCTTAATTTTGTTATAGAAAAAATTGTACTTGAAGTCTTGATACTTGTATTTCGTAATACATGTACAGTATATTAATATCTGTTTAGAGTGCCATAAAGGTCCGATATGCTGGGTGTTTGTATGAATTCATTTTAAGGGGATGAAGGACACATGGTCACATGACTGTTTAACTACATCATAGTCTCCGTTTATATAAGTGCAATATGTGTAAAGCATTAATTCTTGTATAATTTTTTGACAATTTTTTAACTTTAATTACCATCTTATATAAAAAAATTAAAAAGTTTTTACGTTCTTGTAAACATTAACAAATTATGAAAAAGATTGATCCACTCCTCTGTTTCCCTAAACTGCGTGTCCAACAAGTCAGTGACGTCATACATGATCTGTTAGTACAGCAAGATCATACTCGGTGAACACAGGGGTGGTATTACAGTGGTTCCCGTTTTATCGAATAGTCAAGTTGTCAGCATAGTTTTATCCGAATAGCCGAAAATTAGAATAGCCGATTGCTCCATACCGAGTCCAAAGATAGATGTATAGAGCTACATGTATTGATAATACATCGTAGCTAGCAAATTTCAAGCTTGCACTTTTGTTTTCTTTTGACATGTTTACTTAATGACTTTACTAAAAATAATTTATTTCACTTACTTATGAATTTAATATAAAATTTTTTATCAAATAAATTGACGTATAGAGTATATTCTTTGATAGTTATTGCCATCTTTCTTCAGCACATGTTTACATTCCTTCTTCGATGGTTGCCATTTTGGAAAAGGAAGTAGACTAAATGCTTGACTAATAACCGTAAACTATTTTTCCCTGGATAGATTGTAAATTGAAAATAAACAAAAATATTAAATATATGTAATTGTTTCCTTTAGATTTGTTTCTTTAATACGGTTACGTATTTTATACTGTGTGTGAGTTTACCAGTCTCGTTCTTGTCTGCTGAAGAGAGATTTTGAGAGCCATGTCGAGAAAGTTGGTATGAATTTTGAGACGTATTTTTATAGAACGAGCCATTTGTGATTTTTACCATAAATTTTGCACTGAAAAGTGAATAAATATTAAGCCAATTTACCAAGTTAAACGATTGAATAGGGTTATTTCATTATCCAAGCAAATTGTCATACACAAGCTAATCAGTTCAATAATTAAAATTTCACGCCGAAAAAATTGCAGATAACTGTCATAATTAACAAGTGCATCATTGAACCCAAGCTGATCACCACAACTGTAATCAAAACATATCTATTTACTATGCCCACTATTGACACAGGTAAGGTGCCTGTGTGCGTCCAGGCGTAACTAATCCCCTCATTGTCGTACTCAAGCCAGTCAAGGTAATTGGTGTCAAACTGTGTAAACAAAGGCTTCACATACGAAGGTGGAGCAGGGCTCGACATTAATTTTTTCCCCTTACTTGTCCAATCGGGCAAGTGACCAAGACATTTACTTGTCCGAACTTCAACTTCACTGGTCCGAAATTTGTTCAATAAAGATACAATACTGTCAACTTGAAAACTAATATAAAGTCCATTACATGTGATTCCTTCGTGATGTTATTGATAAATACAACAAACACATAAAAACAAACTTTTATCTAGACTTTCTATCCTGACAACAACATAAATGTTCACAATTATCAAAAAGAACCTAAACTTTGTAACTCGACGTAACTTCATGCCCTCCTTTGCAGTAGTATGCAATTAGTGAACTTTGATCCCGATCGAGTGTGAACTCAATTACATAGCGATCCATATCGGGATCGAAGTTCGTTTTTTTATGTACTGCTTACGTCTTTACCGATGAACTTTCAATAGTCGTTCTTTTTATTATTTGAAGACTTCTTTATATTAAAATGCACTTGTCCAATCGGACAAGTGCCCAGCAATATTCACTTGTCCGTAATTTTTTTTCGCTGGTACCGGACAAGCGTTAATGTCGAGCTCTGTGGAGGTGTGAACAAAGTGCTGATTATCAAAAAACACTATGATAGTCCAAATTTTTGTATGGGATAAAACAAAATTCCAGTATTTTTTCATCAGAATATCAGGTGAAATTATTAATAAATATATAAGAAATGGTTTTGTGCTCTGATATTATATTGAAATAGCCGAAATATTCGTTAAACCGCTATCCGATAAAATGGAAGCCACTGTATTATGTAAAAACAGTTCATAATCAGTATATGATGAAATATTTTGAGAAATGGGGAACACAAAAATTATTTTTGCATGGCTGATGACGGAAATCATATGTAGGTATATCTTATTTCGCTTATTTAGCTTACCTGTGACGTCATAGTTGGTTTTTCTCGTAGTCGAGAAATGTAACATGACACATTTTTGTCATGCTTATGTCCTCTTTAACGATGTCCTGTGAAATAATGAGGTCAGCTTCATCATTTGAAATTTTTACAGTTATTCAATAATTTGAAGGATTTGCATTTCAACGTAAATTAAAAAATATTGAATGATAGAATTTTTTGTAAATTACATTTTTTATTGTTTAAGTTGTCTTAAAAAGTGCGTAATTTTCCCTATCCAGATGCAGTGTGATAGACAAAACTTGCTTTTTTGAATTTTAAATCCTAGTTATACTCTGAAATAATTTAAAAGATACATGTCCACTTTGATATTTTTTACATATGCTTAAAAAATCCCATTAAGGACAGAGTAATTAGCCCGGAAACATGGAGAATTAAAACTCCACTTAGATACAGTAGGGCATAGTAATTGTCAATCAATATCTCCAAAATAAGGTAAGAAACCTAATGATATAACTGCTTTAAGATATGTGGGACATACTTAATTAGAAATATACAAAATATGAAAAAAATTGAATGACAAGTATTTTTTCAGCTCATGGTCCTTCTCCTTATTATAACATGTTTAACATGCATTTCACTGATAAATCAATTCCTTGCTAGCCTGCTTATAAATAGAGAACAACTTTATTAGATTCAAATACAAAATATTTTTTTAAAAAAGAGGAAAATGCATTTAATTAAATTTCATCCATTTTTAGTGTTTAGGGTTGATGTTATCCTTAAAATAACAAATGTGTTGTTTTTTTTTGGCTGTGATGAGCAAACATGGTGCATTACACACCTTCCCTTCATTGCAAATTTATGTGCATACATACAGCCTTTCAATTTTTCAATGTAGCAATTTACTGAAACCGTTACTTTCATTTTGCATGCCATATTTTTAACACTGAATCAATTTGATTGACCTTTAGTAGTTTAGTATTATTTTCAATATAAAATGAATTCCATGCATTTTGCATCACATTTATTATGTTTTATAAGTTTGTTCTTATACATTACACATATAATCAGAGCAGAATTAACTTATAATCCTCTAGGTTCATACATACAGTGTGCGAAACTAATCTGGAGAATGAAATAGCCCATTTGACTATCTCATTTGAAATTGGGATAGACCGTAGACAAATAGGAATGTCCAAAGAAAGTAAATTAGGAAAAAATGTGCTCTTGTTATTGTTAAATTTTTTAAAATTTATTCATTTATATTCTTATTGAAGTATCTGCTATATATTTTCATGATTATCTAGTGAAAATTAAATATAATCATGCAGTGTTCATGCATTTCACACCCCAAAAAACTGTGCAATTATTCAGACTCGTCGTATATGAACTTCACTCTGCAGACCAGCTAATATTTGTGAAAGACACAAACTCTAATTTCATCTTTATAGCTTTCCCTTTTCTCGGATTCATTATTTTATTTTCAATTTTTTTGGTTGTCTTTTTGTTGATTCAATTCGTGTTTTAATGCAGTGCTTCCTGCAGTCAGGATTTGTAGCATGCCTGATATACATAAACAGCAAGCA